GGGTTCCTCGTCATCGAATTTGAAACCTTTAATAAATAAAACACAACGAGTAGGTGTATACTTATGCTCAGCACAACGTTATGTTTGTGACGTCACCAATTGGGTGTATTCAATTGTCGTGTTTAGTTGTGCCAAGTACCTGATAAAGCCACGTTAACTGTGGCGAAATTTTGTTTTTAAATGATATATTTTTCCTATCCCATTTTTTTTTAATTTTGTAGGGTGTGGGATACCTCCAAAATTTTATATTTATATTAAAAATATATATGTTGGAACCTTAAACAGACTGGCAAGAGCTTCTACTTCACCTATTTTTCGTAACAAAAATTAATTTTGTACAACAAAATGTTTCGTTATTTACTTTTAACAATTACTTTGGTAAGGCAGTTAAAAAACAAGATTTTACGACAAATAAAACTGTGTTAAATGCACAAACACAAGTCTGTTAAAACTGGCATGGCGTACCTACTCATAGCTGTTAAAATATAAGTATTGTAGTTAATGACCAATATTTTTCTGACAAAAATGAAAAGATTGGATAGAAACAAAACATAATAGTACATATATTTCAACAGTTCATTTATAACAAATTATTACTTGTCCTACGTTTAGCTACCTTACACGTTTAACACTTTAATTACTAAGTTCTGTCAATATACACGTAGAAAAAACGTTATTACTTTGAAAGTCATTGTTATGAGTGCATATTACACAATTTTATTATGTCATTATATGATGACACGTATGCTGACGAAACCACATTCCAGTAAAACACGAAGATCAAACTGCTATCATACTAGGACTAGATACCCCTGTAATTAGCAATATCTCCTGTATTCGTTGCGTATAAGCTCGAGTACCACTACAACTAAAACACGTGATTCTATTGTCATCACATTTCACAATCCTAGAAACTGAAATGATCATATATGGCCTTTTGTCCATGAATGTAAATACTTATACTACTTTGACTTCGCGTTTAGCATTACATATTTACTAACAATTCACGCGTGCAGAAACTTTACGCTCGTTTCCTCTACCGAGCTGCAGAACCCAAAACCAGTTTCACAACACAAATACTGCTGGAACGCAATTCCAATCACGATAGATTTTTTTTTGGTCGTCTAAGTCAGTGGTTCCCAAACTCTTTTAGTGATGTGTATAAAAAAAACTATAAAAATTCCTTAAAATGCCCCCCCCCACTACTTTGGCATGGTGATTAAAAACAGTGCCATCTCCTTTCAACATACTGTATCATTTAATTAATTCATCATAATTTTTATCGGCTTATTGTTTATTTAGAATTAATATTAATTCATCATCTTTGTTTTCGGGCCATTATTTACACCCTCCCAGAAAAGCTTCACGGCCTCCAGGGGACCGCGACTCCCACTTTGAGAAACATTGGTCTAAGCGATTATTACTTGAAAATGGTTTAACTTTAATACAGATTAATTTCTTTTCTTATAATGACTAATTTATTGTGAAATTATATTATTTATACATACACAGCTACATAGCAAATCAACCAATCAGAAAGTGTCACGTTAAAAAAAAACAAAAAACGGCTGGCATGAAAAATCCGATTGATTGTTTTCACTTGCACAACAGACGATGAGATTACTCACCTGAAGTGCACGCCTCAGTTACCAAGTAGTAGGTGGGCCTTGATAATGTTTCGAGATTCAATTGTTACAAAAGTTTAAACTAAATATTTACTAAAGAAGCTTTGGGTTTAATTAAAAATGATAGCGAAATGGATATAAAATTTACACGATTTCTTCAGTAACTTATTGAAAATAAATAGTTTAAACCACGTGTCTATAGACGTCTTAGTCAATATTTTAGTTTAAAAATGTCGTTTTATGCACAAGTTTCAACTTTTCATAGTTTTAGAACGAGTCTTAAAATGCAGTTACGTTTACAAAATCCTTTACTTAAAATAGTAATGCCTAGCAAATATATTTATGTATTAGTAATATATGTCGAAATTCCACACATTTAAAGTTGTGGTATTTCAAGCAACGTTCTAAAATTATCAAAGAATTCATATCGGAAAAGTTGTTTAAAAACTTCATTCATCGATCGACCTTAAAAATAAAAGAAGAGATAAAAATTCCAGAAAGGGCCGATATATTTGACATTGATCTTGTCCTTTATTATCAAAAGTACAGAACCTGTTTCACTACAAAGTTCAATTTAATATTGCTTAAAGTTTACTTTCTTCCCTTGTTAGTTTTGTCAACAAGTGTATCGTGAATTGGGTTTCCGTTACTGTAACTAGTAAAAGTGTTAGATGTCTTCTAAGTTAGAACAATTGAATTATTTTACGTCTTAAG